TATAATCCCAGGAGTTCTCTAACAAAGAGTTTTTAAAATAAATGACATCCTCCGGCAGGAATTCGCACAGAGGAAGGCATCGATTCCATTTCATTCTGCAAACATCCACCGAGCCACAACAAAGAGCGCAGGGAACAATGTTAGCTATGGAGGGGTAGAAGCATGAGTCACATGATTGACAGTGTACTTTACTTAATTAGAGAGGAGAAAAGAGTGGAGCGAGGAACTATTTGTAAGGCAATCCGATGCCTTTTACTTGACCTAGTTGGAAAAGTGGATAGAAAAAGGTTCTGCTCTGTCCAGCTGAGGCCTGGAGTTAAGATTATATTCTTGGCTCTGTCTCCCCCAACAGGGCGTCTCCCCAGTGAACAGTGGGTCTGTTCATAGCCAAGCTCAGTGCAGGGTCCAAGGACCTTGCTAGAAGCTTGGTGTTAATCTCACAGTTTTTGTTTGTTTGTTTGTTTGACAGAGCGTGTGTGCACTCACCAGAGAGAGACAGAGAGAAGGAAAGTGAGAAAGCAACCCCCCATGGGGGGATAGTCACACCACAATCTCTTCTCTTCCATCTCTCCCTCCTGTTGGGATTTTGGACATGCAGGCACAGTGCCCAGTGTGTTTTTCAAGCCACTGGGTCTGGGATTTGAACCTCACAGACAGCTATGTAGAATCTGGCTGCCTTAACCACCATGCCAATGCCACTGGCTGGCTTTTTTTTAAAATTTTTTTTAGAGAGAGATGCTTGCTATAGGGTGCATGCATTCGCCAGAGAGACAGAGACAGGTAGAGAGACAGAAAGCGAGAAGTCAGTTCCCAGGAGGGATGGCCATGCTGCAATCCCTTCTCCTACATTTTCCTCTCAGGACTTTTGGGCACATATGCATGCACATGTGCCCGGCATGAGTTTCAAGACACTGGGTCTGGGACTCGAACTGCAGTTGGCCATGTGGGAGTATAGTACCAGCACCATAACCACCATGGCACCTGCTGGCCCCCTTTTTTTTCAATTGTCAGAGGGTACATGTGCTTGAGAGAGAGAACATCCCCTCAATGGGGCATGGTCACACTGCAATCTCTTCTCCGTTTCTTCATCCTGTCAGAATTTAGGGCATGCACACACATGTACCTGGTGTGTTTTAGAAGCTGCCAGGGCCAAGATTTGAACCACAGTAGGCCATGTGGGATGTGGCTCCTTTAACTACTAGGCTACAGGGCCAGCACTCTCACAGTTTCAGTCTCTACAACATTAAAATATGAAGTCTACAACTGAAAGCATGCCCAAAGTCTGAGCTGTCTCCAGCCAAGCCTGATAGGGCTGAATCCCCTTCCTAGCAGCTGCAAAAATATGGAGTGTCCACAAAAGATGGACTGGGAAGACCTGGACAGAGGCGGCAGCAGTGGATGTCTACACAACCCTTGTGTGGCCACACCTTCAGGTTCCTGCAGGGGCTTGGGTAGGCAAGGCAGGGTAACCAGCGCATGTTAGGAGGGACTGAATGCTAGGGTAGGGGTGTCTACTAGGAATTTGGGAGTGCTGATGAGGCTAGAAATTAGAAAGCAGTGGGCACGTTTACATCTGGGTACACTTTGTTGCTCTGCAGAAATTTTGGATTGAACATTCCACCTGCAAGCTGCTCCTGGCCAGAAAATAAAAACTGTGTATCTACCATGAATGTTGCCTTTTCCATTGGTCCTGAAGACTGGGCTCGGGGGACCAGCAATTGGCATAATGGCTGTGTCGCTGGACTCCCATGTTGTCGACCGCAGTTCGAGTCGCGGACCCAGTGACTTAAACTCACGCATGGTGCATGTGCGTGCATGCCCAAGATCCTGAGAGGAGAATGGGGGAGAAGGGATTGCGGCGTGGCCATCCCCCTGGGGGATGATTTCTCGCTTTCTGTCTCTCTGTCTCTGTCTTTCCGGAGAGCACACGTGCCCTACAGCAAAAAACCCCTCCTAAAAAAGACTGGGCTTGAAACCTCCAGCTCCCACCAAGCAACAGGTCACATATACTGCTTTGCTGTGGGTGGTGAGCCTACTGGGGGTGCTGGTGGGTGGCCGATTTTTTTTTGATGTCTTTATCCTCCATTCAAATGCTCAGAATGAAATTAATTTTTAAAAGAACTGTGTATTTAATTTTATTTATTGTTATCATTATTATTGTTATTGTTATTTTAACCAAAGAGAGAAGAAAAGTGAGAAAGCGAGCCACTAGGTCCGGGACTTGAACTGTGGTCAGCAATGTGGGAGTCTAGCACCCTAACCACCATGCCACTTACTGGCCCACAGAATGAAATTAATTTATAAACACTTCTTTGCCAGGACATCAAAAAATTTCTAGAGTGCAAGGATGTGCTGAACAGAACTTAATTACATAGTATCTATAATTCTTTTTTTGGGAGTTTTTTGCTATAGGGCATGTGCCCTTGCCAGAAAGACAAACAGAAAGCCAGAAATCACCCCCTGGGTGGGATGGCCATGCCACAATCCCTTTTCTTGGGGTCTTGGGCACATACACACATGCCCAGCGTGAGTTTAAGCTACTGAGTCCAGGACTTGAACCATGGTTGACCACATGGGAGTCCAGTGACAGCCATTACGCCATCTGCTGGTCCCCCAGTATCCATAATTCTTTTCAGACATGCAAGAACGTCTTTGATAGTTTATTTAGTATGCTGTCCTTATGGCTTAATTTTAGTGAATATTAGAGAAGAAAATAGATTCATAGGCTTCTCTTTCATTTCCAAACCCCTGCTCCCTAATTCTCCTTTCTCCACGAGGCTTACTCAATGGGAGTTTTCAGGAACTGAATTCTTATCATAAGAGAGACTATAGAAATAGAATATACAATAGAAACACAACACAAGGCACATAAGTTTTCATTTTCAAAGTAGACATACTAAAAAAGGTAAAAAGAGACCACCTGTGGATGGGAAGGTCCTGAGTTCTTCCTGAGGTCTCCCTGGACACTCTGGGTATAGCTGGGCACATGATCCTGGCTGTTTGAGGCTGAGGGTAGAGAGATGTGAGAAAACTCTGTTAGGGATGCCTGTCTCTGTCTCTCATGGAAGAAAAAAATAAACTTTTTTTTTTTTGGAGAGGTTTTTGCTATAGGGCGTGTACGCTCGCCAGACAGAGAGAGACAGACAGAAAGTGAGAAATCACCCCCCAGGGGCGATGGCCACACCACAATCCCTTCTCCTCCATCCTCCTCTTGGGATCTTGGGCACGTGCATACATGCCCGGCGTGAGTTAAAGCCGCCAGGTCTGGAACTCTAATCATGGTTGACTATGTGGAAGTTAATTACACCATCTGCTGGTCCCGAAATAAGTTAACTTTTTTTTTTTTGGAGAGGTTTTTGCTATAGGGCGTGTACGCTCGCCAGACAGAGAGAGACAGACAGAAA